GACAATATTGATTCTTCCAATCCATGAACACGGTATATTTCTCCATCTGTTTGTGTCCTCTTTGATTTCTTTCATCAGTGTTTTATAGTTTTCTATGTATGAGTCTTTTAAAAATATGGAACGCTTCACAAATTTGCATGTTATCCTTGTGCAGGGGCCATGCTAATCTTCTCTGTATCATTCCAATTTTCGTATATGTGCTGCCAAAGTGAGCACATGGCTGGTTTTCTAATGCCGGTTTCCAGCAGCTTCCAGCACATAGAAATTTCAGCCTTTGACAATAGCAAAAAAATATTAAAAAAAATTAATCAGTTACGGTTGAAAAAATTTGATGCTATAGAGTCCTCAGTCATTCAGTCAGATCAGTTCAGTCATATCCGACTCTTTGTGACCCCAAGGAATGCGGTACACCAGGCTTCCCTGTCCATCAGCAACTTCTGGAACTTGCTCAAACTCATGTCCATCAAGTCAGTGATGCCATCCAACCATCTCATCTTCTGTTGTCCCATTCTCCTCCTGCCTTCAATCCTCCCCAGCATTGGAGTTTTTTCCAGTGAGTCAGTTCTTTGCAGCAGGTGGCCAAAGGATTGGAGCTCCAGCTTCAGCATCAGTCCTTTCAATGAATATTCAGGACTGAACTCCTTTAGGATTGACTGGCTTGATCTTCTTGCAGTTCAAGGGTCTCTCAAGAGTCTTCTCCAAACCAGAATTCAAAAGCATCAATTCTTCAGCACTCAGTTTTCTTTAAGGTACAATCCCACAATCATACATAACTATTGGAAAAAAACAAAGCTTTGACTAGACAGACCTTTATTGGCAAAGTGATGCCTCTGTTTTTTTTTTTTTTTTTAATATACTATCTATATTGGTCATAGTTTTTCTTCCAAAGAGCAAGTATCTTTTAATTTCATGGCTGCAGTCACCATCTGCACGATTTTGGAGTCCAAGAAAATAGAGACTGTCATCGCTTCCGTTGTTTCCCTATCAACTTGCCATGAAGTGATGGGACCAGATGCCATGATCTTTGGTTTTTGACTGTTGAGTTTTAAGCCAGCTTTTTCACTCTACTCTTTCACTTTCATCAAGAGGTTCTGTAGCTCCTCTTCAGTTTCTGCCATAAGGGTGGTGTCATCTGCATATCTGAGGTTATTGTTATTTCTCCCAGCAATCTTGATTCCAGCTTGTGTTTCATCTAGAGTGGCATTTTGCATGATGTACTCTGCATATAAATAAAATAAGCAGGGTGACAATATACACCCTTGAAATACTCCTTTCCCAATTTGGAACGAGTCTCTTGTTCCATGTCCGGTTCTAACTGTTGCTTCTTGACCTGCATACAGATTTCTCAGGAGCCAGGTAAGGAAGTCTGGTGTTCCCGTCTCTTGAAGAATTTCCCACAGTTTGTTCTGATCCACATAGTCAAAGCCTTTGGTATAGTCAATGAAGCAGAAGTAGATGTTTTTCTGAAATTCTCTTGATTTTTAATGATCCTACAGATATTGGCAATTTGATCTCTCATTCCTCTGCCTTTTCTAAATCCAGCTTGAACATCTGGAAGTTCTCAGTTCATATACTGTTGAATTCACATAGTGTTCACATAGCTTGGAGAATTGTGAGCATTACTATGCTATCATGTGAGATGAGTGCAATTGTGCAGTAGTTAGAACACTTTTTGGCATTGCCTTTCTTTGGGGTTGAAATGAAATCTGACCTTTTCCAGTCCTGTGGCCACTGCTCAGTTTTCCAAACTTGCTGGCATATTGAGTGCAGAACTTTCATAGCATCATCTTTTAGGATTTGAAGTAGCTCAGCTGGAATTCTATCACCTCCACTAACAACCAACAATCCTTAGAAGTCCAATATGTAAACAGAATTAGAATGAACTAAAAGAGGCACAAAACTTCTAAATCTTTCAGATTCTCCATTTTGCTGCTAGTTATGCTGACTTTTATCTCCTCAAGGCGGAACAGCCTTGAGAGCTCATATGTTTATCTGCATAATAGCTTTTTACTTGCTTCTTTTGTTTATTTGCTTTCCACAGTTATTTGATTACCAGATCCATGCTAAGGCCTGAAGGTATCTTTTTTTAGAATCAGTTACAGACCCCTGTGACAGGTGAAGAGGAAAGCTTATTTCACCTTGAAAATGTGAAGGAAGTTTGTTTTCCCAATTTGGTATATATTTCATCCAGAAAATTTAGGGTTTCTAATGTTTGTCATGAGGTGAGGACATTTCCAAGGCCTATTTATAATATTAAATTAGGTAAAGCCCATAGGGGCTTCCCAGGTGACACTAGTGGTAAAGAATCTGCCTGCCAATGCAGGAGACATAAGAGATAGGTTCAACTCCTGGTTCTGGAAGGACCCTTGGAGAAGGGCATGGCAACCCACTCCAGTATTCTTCTTTGAGAATCTCATGAACAGAGAAGCCTGGTGGACTACAGTCTATAGGGTCACAAAGAGTTGAACACGACTGAAATGAGTTAGCATGCACAGTGCCCATAAGGACTTCCTAGGTGGCTCATTGGTAAAGAATCTGCCTGCTAAGCAGGAGATACAGGTTCAATCCTTGGGTCAGGAAGATTCCTTGGAGGAGGGCATGACAACCCACTCAAGTATTCTTGCCTGGAGAATCCCATGGACAGAGGTGCTATAAACTCCATAGGACCAGTAAAATCTAATAATCTGAGAGCCAAACAGTCACACACATTTCTTTATGTTACTCTGGGGACATTTAGGATGATGATTACTGGAAAATAGGTTCTGGTGCCAGTAATCAACACAAGGAGCAGAAGAAAGTCCTAGGCAGAAAGCACAAAGGACAGGAAGGACCTTCAGAACAAAGTAGTAGAAAGAAGGGTAATAATCATGGCCTACAGAGATCAGTTAATAAAATTCTAATATAAAATTTCCCTTTTAGAACAGATTGTTTCTATCATATTCATACAGTATATCCCCAATATCTATACCTATAGCACATGGCACATTAAGGTGTTCAATAAAGTCCTATTAGCTAAATAAATCTCCAAACATCTTGCTTGAAGAAAGGATAGCGTGAAAGAAGATGAAAAGCTTCCCATTCAATGTGTGGGGATAGAAAAGTAAAAATCTCTCTGAGAAATTAAACACATCAATGACTTGACTTATTCTGGTACCTTGTACCTTATTGGCTTCAACTACAACAAACTTGGCTCTGAAACTTTAAACCTCTTTAGACAATTAGAGAAGTACAGTGACCACATAGCAGATTCTGCTCAGAGCCTGCCAACACTGGATGAGAATGCTGACTTAATTCTAAGATATTATAACATAAATATAAAGAGTCATTAATAATTCAAAATCTTGTCAAGAGACCTAAAAGAGAGGACCCAAATGGTAGTGCATGAGAAACAAAACAAAATGAAATAATTAAGGCAGAAGGGTTTTTAAAAGCACACAAAAAGACTCAAGAACTAAACACTTGAGGAAATCAAATGGTTATTATTACCTCTATATAAGATCCCAACACAGAGTCTCAAAAGAAGTACAATGTTATTTTAAGGCCCCTGTGAGCAGATCAACAGTGATATGCTTTGTTGACAAGATTTGAAGCACACATCTACATATATGCCTATTAACAGAAAGAAGTGTTTTGTTATTATCCACTCAGGCTGAATTCAGAAACTCACAGCAAAGGTCTGCCTCCTGTTCAGATCCCAATGTTGAAAGGAAATGGAGAAACAGCAGTATAGTTAATTTGACTTAGTAAAGTAAAAAAAAAAAAATAGGCCCAGGAAGATATTTTTACCTTTAATAAACAGTTTTGATTATCATCATCAAATGCCTACACTTTTACAAACCTGAGTTTCTCAGCCCAGCATTTATAGAAAATTGCCAAGTATCATTTCTAGATAAAAGCACAATTCAATATTTATGAATAGCTAGCTTTCTATAAATATAGACATTTGGAGATGATCTTCTCACTAGTCATTAAAATTTGAACAGGGATCAAAGCTAGAATAATATTAACAATTCCTTGCATTTGTAGAGTATTCTACAAAATACTATTAATAACAGATGACATTTATTGAGTACTTAGCAAGTGCCAGGCACTTTACATGTAAATTCTCATCATGAATTCAGTTCAGCTCAACAAGCATTCACTTAACACCTACTGTGTGATAGGTGAATAACACTTGGTTTCTGGCTTTAAAAACTCTCATTTTGGTGCACTCAATCAATGTTGAATGAATAAATGGATGAACAAAGTAATCAGTTTGAATGGCAATGTGGGATAATAACAATAACACAGGCTCTTCCCCTTAGTATTTATGGTCATGAGGATGTACTTAACCTATCCTAGCCCCAGTGTCTTTGTCTGTAATATAGGGATCTTTAAAATAATCTCCCTTGCAAAAATGTTGTGAGAATAGTAACATCAAATGTAAAACATCTGACAAAGAACAGATTTTCTCAGTAAGTGGCAGTAGTTATTATTAACATTATCATCATCATCTTCATTACTATTATTAAGTAATTCTATACAACTGTCCTCAGCTACACTATAGCAATGGGACAAATAGAACTTTAGCATCCAGAAATATTCACACCATATCTATACAAAAAAACCACAATAAACAAGCAAAACAAGGGAACTCTACAAAACTGTAGCTCCCAATATCCTCCTGGGTTAATGTACAATATCTCTGCACAGGTTAGAAAAGAAAAAACAAAAACAGAGTCAGGTTTATGCTTCCAAAGATGTCATGATAAAAGCCAAATAAGACAGGAAGTTTATCTTATCAAATAACAGACTGTACATTCCCTCATAAGAGAATGCTAGTAATTCCAAACATGGAACCATGATTTCTTTTCCAACATTCTCAAAGAGCAGTGCCGAGAGCCCAGACAATGAACATGCAGAAACTCACTGAACTCTTCTTAGGACCAGTAGAGCAGATAAATTGGAGCCCTGGGTCACATTCTCCAATCAAAAGGAGGTCCATTCCGTGGGTCACTTACCATTTTGGTCGGCTGGTAGATTTCACCATAGGGGCCATCCCGTCTCTATAAAGACTTTTAGTTTTGCTGAAGTTAACAATGTTGAAAATGACTCTCTGAGAAAGAAAGAGGGGAAAGTTTATCAGAAGACTGTGCTATTCAGGTTGCCCCTTTCTGATAATTAGAACTGGAAGTAAAAAGAAGGGTTAAGGGAAACCATATGGACTAGCTACCAACATAGTGAGAATAAATGATACTCATAGAAATTCAGTGTTTCTGCTAGCTTAGCATAGTAATCAAGAACATAAACTCTGGAATCTGGAAGGCTTACTTTTAATCTCACTCTACCACTCTCAGTCTGTCACCTTGCCAAGCTACTAAATCTTTCTTTGCCTCAGTTTCCTCATCTGAAAAATTGGGATAATAATGGTACCTAGGGTCACTGATGAGAAATGATTTAATGTATAGTGCTTGGAACTTTGTTTGGTACATAGTGAAGGCTATATAAGTTTTAGTTATTTTATTAATTGCATCTTCTCTCTAGGCTGACCTAGAATGTCCATGGAAATGAATATCACTATAATAACAGTGGTGCATTTGAAGTTCAACAAAACTAAAGATAACAACTTAGTGAAAATTGAAATTAAAAACTTCTGTAGCTGCTCAGCACCCCTTTGACTACAACTTCAGAATATATGTTTTCTCCCTTTTTGTTGTTTTCTGCTAGGGGCCAGGAGTACTGGGCTCAATCCTAATCTTAGTATCAGTTTATAGGAGCACAGACGCATAGGTGAGTTCCTTCCCTCCCTCGGTGCACCTTTACAATGGGGGAGTAGAATGTTTTAGATGACTAAAATCCTTCCAGAAGTGTAGTTGACTTAAAAGAAAACAAGTCTTTGTTTTAATAAACAACTTTATCACAAGTGAGGAAGACAGATGGGGAAGGAGCAGAGAATTGGGGTTAAAAAACATTAAATGACCACTGAAATAGTCCAAAGGAAAAAGGATGAGGATCAGGGCAAGAGCAGGCTGAATAGTCAGAGAAAATGAAAAGCTTTCAAGAGGTTACCATAGGCTGGCCTTTCTGTCCAAAGGCAGTGAAAAACAGATGCATCAAAATTCATGTATTAATTCACTGAATAAATATTTATTGTGCGAGGTATTAATGTCAAGTGCCAGAAATTGTATACACTTAAAAAATTTTTAATATTCTCTTACAATTATATTAAAATACAAACATCTCCATTTTACAGATGTGGAAACTGAGGTTCAGTGATGTTAATTATCCTGTCTTAAGTTGTGCAATTAACAGATGGAGAACTGATATCTAAACTCAAGGAATAAAAGAGTTAAGACAGCCAAGATCTCTCACTAAGGTTCCAATTTCATAACTCCAATCAAGTCTGTTTTCCAAAATAAGGGCAAAAATAAATATAAATATAGTGAGCACTTTTTGAAGCCTTTACATTTTGTTTTCCTTTAAAAATATAACACCCAAAGCATTTCCTCTGGATTCATATTTGGGGCTACCATAAAATGCTTTGTTCTATGAAATAAGGTCTTAGGAATACCTCATGTTTTCCTTTCTCCTCAGAGACCTAGCCATTGACCCTCTCTCTAGGCATTTCAGTTTCCGACCTCTTTTCTGTCATTACGTTAAGTCATCAAGAATGTCCAAGGCTATTCCATTATTAATAAACCAGATCTGCCTGTTGTCAGTTCAATTATTTCTCCTAGGGTCTTGGCTACTGTTTGATTTAAGAAAATCACTATCAAGGGGGACAAATGGCCTTTGAACCTCACAGGGCCATGATGTACTTTTAGGATCTAGACTAATGCTAAATGCAAGAGGAGATCTAATACAGAAAGAATGTATATATGTGAAGCTGGAATAAAAAATGAAAAAGTGGAATATTTATTGATCATTCATATCCTACCACATGCCAAAAGCTTTCCCCCAGGTATTTAAAACATACTATATTATTTAGCTTCTCTATTCATAAACAAAATTGTTCATTTTAGACTAATTTTAGACATGAGGAAATTGAATCTAATAAATGGTAACTGGCTTATACCCCCACCCCCAGATCCCAGAACTATTAAATGGTAGAGCTAGAACTTAAATCCTAAGTGTCTAGACAATAAATATACTTTCTCTATGATACCAAATGCAAAAAGGAAACAACCTTTCTTTCTTTCGTTTTGGCTGCGTATCTTGTAGGATCTTAGTTTCCCAACCAGGAATCCAACTTGGGTCCAGGCAATGAAAATGCCAAGTCCTAACCACTGGACCACTGGGGAATTCGTGGACACATTCTTTTATGATTCTCCACCCATGCATTTTTCAAATTTATTTTTTAAACTTTTTTATTTTGTATTGGGATATAGCTGATTAACAAATAATGCCATGATAGTTTTGGGTGAACAGCAAAGGAACTCAGCAATACATATACATGTATCCATTTCTACCCAAACTCTCCTCCCATTTAGGCTGCCACATAACATTGAGCAGAGCTCACTATGCTATACAGCAGGTCCTTGTTGGATACCTATTTTAAATAAAGCAGTGTGTACATGTCCACCCCAAACTCCGTAACTATTCCTTCCCCCATTCTTTCCCTTGGCAACCATAAAATTGTTCTCTAAGTCTGTGAGTCATTTTCTGTTTTGTAAGGTCATCATTTATTTTCAGATCCCACATAAAATGGATGTAATACAATATTTCTCCTTCCCTATCTCATTTACTTCACTCAGGATAACACTCCCTAGGTCCATCCATATTGCTGGAAATGGCATTATTTTGTTCCTTTTAATGGCTGAGTAATATTCCACTGTATATATGCAACACATCTTCTTTGGCCTTTCCTCTGTTGACTGACATTTAGGTGGTTCCCATGTCTTTGCTCTTGTAAACAGTGCTGCAATGAACATTGGGATGCCAGTATCATTTCATCCTGTTTTTTTTCCAGATAAATGCCCAGGAATGGGATTATAAGGTCATATGGTAGCTTAATTTTGAGGTTTTAAGGGAAAAAAGAAAAAAACTATAGTAGTCACTGTACCAATTTACATTCCTACCAACAGTGCTGGAGGGTTCTCTTCTCATCACACCCTCTCCAGCATTTATGGTTTGTGGAATTTTTTATCATAGCCATTCTGAGTGATGGGAAATGGTATCTTCATTGTAGTTTTGATTCCCACTTCTCTAATAACTAGTGATGTTGAATATCTTTTCATGTGTCTCTTGTCCATCTGTATATCTTCTTTGAAGAAATGTCTATTTAGGTAGGTGTTCTGCTTGTTTTTTGATTGAGTTGTTTGTCTTGATGCTGTTAAGCATCATAAGGAGTTTGTAAATTTTGGAGACTAATCCCTTGCCAGTCAAATAATTTGCAAATATTTTCTCCCAATCTAGGGTTGTCTTTCTGTTCTGTTTATTCTTTCCTTTAGTGTGAAAATTTTGAATTTAAGTAAGTCCCATTTGTTTATTTTTGTTTTTATTTCCATTATTCTGGGAGATGGATCAAAAATTAAGGCAGAGGAATCAGAGATCAGATTGCCAACATTCGCTGGATCATCGAAAAAGCAAGAGAGTTCCAAAAAAACCCATCTATTTCTGCTTTATTGACTATGTCAAAGCCTTTGACTGTGTGGATCACAATAAACTGTGGAAAATTCTGAAAGAGATGGGAATACCAGACCACCTGACCTGCCTCTTGAGAAACCTGTATGCAGGTCAGGAAGCAACAGTTAGAACTGGACATGGAACAACAGACTGGTTCCAAATAGGAAAAGGAGTACGTCAAGGCTGTATATTGTCACCCTGCTTATTTAACTTATATGCAGAGTACATCATGAGAAATGCTGGGCTGGAAGAAGCACAAGCTGGAATCAAGATTGGTGGGAGAAATATCAATAACCTCAGATATGCAGATGACACCAACCTTATGGCAGAAAGTGAAGAAGAACTAAAGAGCTTTTGATGAAAGTGAAAGAGGAGAGTGAAAAAGTTGGCTTAAAACTCAACATTCAGAAAACTAAGATCATGGCATCCGGTCCCATCACTTCATGGCAAATAGATGGGGAAACAGTGGAAACAGTGGCTGACTTTACTTTTCTGGGCTCCAAAATCATTGCAGATGGTGATTGCAGTCCTGAAATTAAAAGACACTTACTCCTTGGAAGGGAAGTTATGATCAACCTAGACAGCATATTGAAAAGCAGAGATGTTATTCTGTCTACAAAGGTCCATCTAGTCAAGGCTTTGGTTTTTCCAGTGGTCAGGTATGGATGTGAGAGTTGGACTATAAAGAAAACTGAGAGCCGAAAAATTGATGCTTTTGAACTGTGGTGTTGGAGAAGGCTCTTGAGAGTCCCTTGGACTGCAAGGAGATCCAACCAGTCCATCCTAAAGGAACATCCTGGGTGTTCATTGGCAGGGCTGATGTTGAAGCTGAAGCTCCAATACTTTGGCCACCTGATGTGAAGTGCTGACTCATTTGAAAACACCCTGATGCTGGGAAAGACTGAAGGCAGGAGGAGAAAGGGACAACAGAGGATGAGATGGTTGAATGACATCACTGACTCAATGGACATGGTTTTGGGTAGACTCCAGGAGTTGGTGATGGACAGGGAGGCCTGGCATGCTGCTGTTCATGGGGTTGCAAAGAGTTGGAAACGACTGAGCAACTAAACTGAATTGAACTGATGTCAGACAGTATTCTCTATGTTTTCCTCTAGGAGTTTTACATTGTCCAGTCTCACATTTAAGTCTTTAATCAATTTTGAAATTATTTTTGTATATTCTACCTGTGCATTTTTTAAAATGTTTTGTACATTATTTAGCAAGGTAGCATGTGGTTGTGAGAATCAAAGGTATTTGGAAGCAAGCAGTGCAGAAAATCTTGGCTTCCATATTTTCTAGTTATTTGTCAGTTATTTACTCAAAATACATCAGACAAAGCTACATCTATGAGGTAATGGTAACAGTAACAACTATAATAGTAACTAACAACTTCTGAGACTTTCTATGCACCTAATTCTAAGCTGTGCATGCTAAGTCATGCTAAATCGCTTCAGTTGTGTCTGACTCTGTGTGACCCTATGGACTACAGCCTGCCAGTCTCCTCTGTTCATGGAATTCTCCAGGCAAGAATACTGGAGTGGTTTGCCATGCCCTTCTCCAGGGGATCTTCCCGACCCAGAGATCGAATCCGAATCTCTTACATCTATCTGCATTGGCAGGTGGGTTCTCTACCACTAGTGCCAAAATCACCTGTACAGTTTTTTTTTTTTTTTCATTTATTTTTATTAGTTGGAGGCTAATTACTTTACATCATTACAGTAGTTTTTGTCATACATTGAAATGAATTAGCCATAAAGTACTAGAGACGCGTGGACCTCATCCTAAGCTTCCCTGGTGGCTCAGTTGGTAAAGAGTCTGCCTGCAATGTGGATGACCTGGATTTGATCCTTGGGTTGGGAAGATCCCCTGGAGAAAGAAATGGCAACCCACTCCAGAATTTTTGCCTGGAGAATTCCATGGACAGAGGAGACTGGTGGGCTAAATTCATGGGGTCACAAAGAGTTGGACACGACTGAGTGACTAACTTTCACTTCCACTTTTCATCCTAAGCTGATATCTGATATATTAGCTCACTTGTTTTGAGGATAATGAATATTTTGAGACAGGGACAATTTATTACCTCTTTAGGGTGAGGCAAGTGGTATCAAGAACAAGTGATTTAAAATTACATAGCTAATTTGCAGTAGACTTAGAATTTGAACCAAGTCCATTGACTCAAGAGAATAAGATCTTGGACTTTCCAGATAGATATACCTGAGACTGAAACCTAGTTCCTCACTGGTTTTGTGAACTTGGGCAAGATAATTACTCATTTTTGATACTGTTTTAAAAATCAATCTGGGATTGAAATGATAATATCATTCTAAAAACGTTATTATAAGAATCTGTGAGATTATATTAGTAATCAACTGGCATATTGCATCTAGATAAGAATAGGAATTCAGTATTTATTGAACTTCCCCCCTTATCTTCAACAAAACTAGATCTTTCCATTTTTACAGCTTCCTTCCTTCTCTCTTTCTTTTTTTCCAGTCCTTCCTTCCATTATTTCTTTTTCTATATTTAAAATTTTAACCCAGGCTTCTTGTTTTAGTAATAGGATGCTCTAAATTGAAGCTTTGTAAATGGTGACCTGTAGCATGAGCTCTCACGGTAGCCTTGTGTGAGGCCTGGAGCTCTGCCCATCATGACTAAGGAGCTCATGGTGCTATGGAGTAATATAAGAACTCCACCCCAGATATAGGCCAAGGAGTGGTGCAGTGTTGCTGAGGGTGTAGTAAGGAGACTGCAGGCAGTCCCAGACAGTGGCTTTAATTCTTTTTCTTTCCATAGATCCAATATTTTTGCCCAATCAAGAGTAAATTTTCCACTTAATGGTGTCCAAGCTGTCCCAAGGACTATTCTAAATAGGCCCGAATATTCTACAAATTAGACAGTCATAATTATTTTAAAACATTTCATTACCTTTTTCTTGTTTAGTAGCTAAGTCGTGCCCAACTTATTGCGATCCCATGGGCTGCTGCCCACCAAGCTCCTCTCTATGAAATTCTCCAGGCAAGAATACTGGAGTGAGATGACAGTCCCTCTCCAGGAGATCCTCCTTAGCCAGGGATGGAATTCGAGTCTCCTGCATTGCAGGCAGATTCTTTACCACCCAGCCACCAAGAAAGCCTTAAATCAGTATAATATTGAAAGTTTGATTCAATTTTAACATCATTTGATGTTTACAAGAAATGTCAATACTGCAATTATAAGTGGAAAAAGGAGAATTATTAGATACTTTAATATAATTTCACATGGCTTATATATCTGAACAGTTTAAAAATTTTTATCACTTTATTGTGGGGACAATTTCTTATTAATGTTTATTAAGACTGAATAGATCATTGAAAAGTCTTGATCAGGAATTTCACATATTCATTTCAGAAATCAAAACCTCATACAAAAATGGAAAGTTCAATGGACAAAACTAAAGTATTTCAATTAAAAATTTGAAGATTAAAAAAATTAGCATTTGATATCCTCTGTGTAGTTTTTTTTGTTTTATTTTAAAATTTTCTGTTATTATTATTTTTTTTAATCAAGCTTCATATGGTCATCCTCTAAACATTCCCAGGTATTACAACATTCTGCATAGGTATCATCTTCTCTATATGTTTAAATGTTATTTTCTTTGTGTGCCTGGAAGTGAAAACAGTTGGAGAATACAGCTCTGGATAACCTTCCACAAACTGCCAGAAACTACAGGATATTTATGAACATTATTTACATGAAGAGCTCCTAATAAATAAAAAGAAATCCACAGATTCTAGAAAAATAGATGTACAGAAGGCAGATTATTGGCCTTGGTATCTAAGAACTTATATTTTTAAAATCTATGCAAGGATAGTAAATGAGGCCATGAATCTGTATGAGGAAGGCTATCTGACATGAGATGCTTTCACAAATATAGGACCCTCAAAATGATATAGTATTAGTGAAATTGTGGTCTAGAAAGAAATCATTCGCTAACAATGGGAGATGACAAAGATACATGTGTATCTATTCCTAGATCTAGGGGTAGAGAATAACTTAAAAACATGGGCCAGAACACTTTTAGGTTTCAGTTTGAATTTACACCACCTGCTTAAGAACTGGGGCTTCCCTGGTGACTGGATTCAGTGGTAAAATACCCACCTGCCAAGCAAGAGATGCAGGAGTCGCAGGTTTGATCCCCCAATCATGAAGATCCCCTGGAGAAGGAAATGGCAACCCACTTCAGCATTCTTGCCTGAAAAATCCCCTGGACAGAGGAACCTGAAGGCTACAGTCCAGTGGTGGTGCAAGGACTCCAGCACAACTGAGCATGTATGCACGCTTAAGAATCCAGGCCAAGCATTTACAATACATGTCCTTACAGGGCTTCCGTGGTAGCTCAGTTGGTAAAGAATCCACCTGCAATGCAGGAGACCCTGGTTGGATCCCTGGGTCAGGAAGATCTGCTGGAGAAGGGAAAGGCTACCCACTCCAATATCCTGGCCTGGAGAATTTCATGGACTGTATAGTTCATGGGGTTGCAAAGAGTCAACACAACTGACCAACTTTCACTTTCACTTCGTTACAGGAAGATATCCCTGGAGCACCTGGTTCAGGCAATAAAAAAATACTTTTGGTTTGAATGTACACATTTTCAGCCTAAGCATACAGAATTTCCATAATGAAGCCTTAAAGAGGTCAAACTTTCATTTAAATTTGTAAAACATAAAAGAAAACAATCCACACTAAAAGTGAGAATCAGTCAGAGAAATAGACAACTGAATTAGACCACAAAGAACATCAGTCATAAAACTATCTGGTGAACTAAAGAGAAAGTACTTTTCAAGTGATTAAAAAAATAAAAGAATGTTTGAATACGTGAGAACAGAACAAAACACAGTAAGGTTTTCTTTTTTTTTTTTTTTTTAATGCCAGAAATAGTCTAGAAAAAAATTAAAGTGTTTTTTAGAAATTATAAAAGATGTAATTAAACTAAAAAATTCAGTAGACAGGTTAAGATGCAGAATGGATAAAATTTTCCAAAATTCAACAGCGAGAATTAGCAAGATAGAAAATATGAAAAGAGACACAGAAGAAATAAATAAAAATATGTATCTGATAAGAGTTCTAAAAAGAGAGACAACAAAAACTGGGAGAGGAAAAATCCACAAAGAAAAGACTGAATATATTCCAGAACTGATGAAAGACAGGAATATTCAGATTTAGGAATCACAAGTGCATCCAAAGTAGGATTTTTTTAAAATCTAGATATAGACACATCATAGTGAAACTATTGACTACAAAACACCAACAATGAAGGATGTGTTTTCAAAACAAATCAAAGAAAATAAAAATTACATACAAAGGAACAGAAGTTAAAAAGCAAATTTAATATCAGCAACATGAGAAACCAGAAAATAATGGAATAACATTACCCAAGAAAAAGGGTATAACAAATTTTCAAACAAAGCCTAAGAAGTTTAGCAATTTCAGATTTCAGTGAAGGAGCTACTAAAAGACGAATTTCAGAAGAAGAAAGAAATTGGCCACAAAAGGTAATGATGGCAAGAAGAAACAATGGGCAGAGAGACAAGTAAATATAAATAAGAACTGACCAAAACTATAAAAATATTAATTTTTAGAGCTGTTAAAAATTTTGTTAAAAATTTTAAAAAAGTATATGGTGGTGAAGTGGAGAGAGGCCAAATCAGAGTTAAAGTATTATAAGGTCCTTCTATGATTCCAAAGGAGGATAGGGAAGCCAATTAACTTAATGAAAATGAAAGTGTCAGTCACTCAGTCCTGTGTCTGACTCTCTGAGACCCCGTGGGCTGTAGCACATCAGGCTTCTCTGTCCATGGAATTTTCCAGGCAAGAATACTGGAATGGGTAGTCATTACCTTCTCCAGGGTATCTTACAGATCCAGTGATTAAACAGAGGTCTCCTGCATTGCAGGCAGATTCCTTATCGTCTGAATCACCAGGGAAGCCCTAATTAATTTAATTGCCATAAATAAGAATGTGACAATCAAGAGTAGTCACTATAATAATAGAAACAGGATTAATAAATTCCAAATGAGTGAAAAAGAGCGAATAAAGAAAACATGACAAATATAATAGAAGATATTATAGGGAATAAAAAGAAAAGGAAACATTATTTATTGAAAACTCAAAATGACAGTAAAAATAATTCTAAATATCCATAATCACAGAAATTGAAAACTGACAAATTTATTTGTTTAAAAACTGATTAGAAAAATCTACACTTGTCATCTTTTCCAGAGACAATCATAAGAAATAATGGCACAAAATTTTGAAACTGAAAACCTAGAAAAAGATATAAAAGATATAACATGAAAACACTAAAGAAAGGTTGTTTGAGCTATGGCAGTATCAGATATTGATTTTTCCTAAAAACATATTGAGCAAAAATGCAAAATTAAGGATACAATCACCATATAAAAGCAAACATTCTACATGAAGATCAACTTTAAATATGCGTGCACCTAAAAAGAGCATAAAATATATAAAATAAAAAGTTGACAACATCACAAGTAAAACCTGACTGAGCCACAATGATTAATCTCAGTAACTGATACTGTAAACAACCAAAAATTCTGAGGGCTATAGAAAACCAAAAACTTCCAATTTGATAAGCTCCAGCTTCCCTGGTGGCTCAGATAGTAAAGAATCTGCCTGCAATGTGGAAGAATAGGGTTCAATTCCTGGGTCAGGAAGATCACCATGGAGAAGGAAATGGCAACCCACTCTAGTATTCTTGCCTGGAAAATTCCATGGACAGAGGACCCTGGCTGGCTATAGTCTAAGGGGTTGCAAAGAGTTTGGCGTGACTGACCAACTAATATTGAAATATCACTTATGAAAATCTGTAAAACTTTCCACATAAACAATAAGGGAATAAACTTTTCTTCAAGTAATAAGAGATATTTGTAAAAGATTAAGTACGTACATATAGTCACAAAACAAATCTCAACAAATATCAAAGAATTCATATTCTTCTAATCACAACTTCCCACTATCCAGTCATAAAATCATATATCCAGTACAAAAAAAAGTTGACCAAAAACTCAGATATTTTGAAATTTTTATATACTCTTCTTAGCTTTTTATGTATCAAAGAAGAAATAGTGAGGGAAGGTACAAAGTATTTAAAATTGTATGATTGATTCAGCACTATATAGTAGAGCAGTGTCACACAGAAAAAAATATATATACAGAGAAATTAAATTTTAGCCCTATGTGTCTATACTAGAAGGGAAGAAAGATTGAAAAAGAGAGTGCCAAGTACTTAACTTAAAAAGTTAAGAAACAAACAGAAAATAATTCATACCAAAGAAACTCAGAAATGAAAAACACTGGAAGTACTTGGAGTGCCAGTCTGAGCTTGGTTCATAGTCCTTGTAAAGAAACATTAAGTCCCAAATTCCTTCCCACACATCAACACCCAAGTGAATCTTCATCCATCATGAGAGGAAACTAGAGGCTCATTCTCTGGAGGGGTGGAAGAGATTACAGATTCAAATTCCAGAATACCGACAGTCAAGTTTATATCCATATACAGTAGTTTTAAAAAAAATGTATTCTGTGGGAAAATTAACTCAATCAAAGATAAATTATATATAAATATTAGCATGGTAAACTCCCCCAAGAAAATAGATCAGCATAGTCCAAACATGTATTTAGAACCTCTGTTTCAAATTTTAATGGCAATCTTTTACTGATGAAAGACACCAATAGAAGCAGAGACCAAAGCATCCAAGTGAAGGTATGATGGAGGTTGGCAGTGATGGGGTGGGGGGAGGGACAGAAACGATTTGCAAAAGGTGCATTAAATACCAATTTAACAGAAAAAGAAGAAACATTTATTAGCAAAAGGCCAGAGGCAGATGGGATAGGCCAGAACAGAAAAAGTTAATCATATCTCACAAGACTCATCTGAATTAATAGTTGGAAGTGAAAGCTCAGTCGTGTCCAACTCTTTGCAACCCCATGTACTGTAGACTACCACACTCCTCTGTCCACACGGTTTTCCAGGCAAGAGTACTGCAGTGGGTTGCCATTTCCTTCTCCAGAGGATCTTCCCGACCCAGGGATTGAACCCAGGTCTCCTGCCCTGTAGGCAGATGCTTTACCATCTGAGCCACCAGGAAAGTTCTAGTTACCTATTCATAATAAAAGATTGAATATTATTTTAACCAAAAGATGACATAAATATGTGGATGAGGAGAAGAGCTTATATTTTGTAACAGAACTGTTAAAGGATGAAAACATCATCTCATGATACAAAGTAGGTAAATACTAATGAAAACTAAAATGACTAGAGAATAGCTGTATAGAAATTTTATTTAAAAATACAGAAGTAATATCAGAAGAAAAAAATGATATACCACATTAACAAATTGAAAGATAAAAACCATATGATTATTGCAATAGATGCAGAGAAAGCCTTTGACAAAATCAAACATCCATTTGTGATAAAAAACCCTCCAGAAAGCAGGCATAGAAGGAACATACCTCAACATAATAAAAACCATATATGATAAACCCACAGCAAACATTATCTTCAGTGGTGAAAAATCAAAAGCATTTCCCCTAAAGTCAGGAACAAGACAAGGATGCCACTCTCACAACTACTATTCAACATAGTTTTGGAAATTTTAGCCACAGCAATCAGAAAAGAAAAAGAAATAAAAGAAATCCAGATTGGAAAAGAAGTAAAACTCTCACTGTTTGCAGATGACATGATCCTCTACATAGAAAACCCTAAAGAAGTCACCAGAAAATGACTAGAGCTAATCAATGAATATAGTAAAGTTGCAGGATATAAAATTAACACACAGAAATCCCTTGCATTCCTATACACTAACAATGATAAAACAGAAAGAGAAATTAAGGAAACAATTGCATTCAACATTGCAACGAAAAGAATAATATACTTAGGAATAAATCTACCTAAAGAAACAAAAGATCTATATATAGAAAACTATAAAACACTGATGAAAGAAATCAAAGATGACACAAATAGATGGAGAAATATACCATGTTCATGGATTGGAAGCATCAATATAGTGAAAATGAGTATACTATCCAAAGCAACCTACAGATTCAATGTAATCCCTATCAAGCTACCAATGGTATTTTTCAGAGAATTAGAACAAATAATTTCACAATTTGTATGGAAATACAAAAAAAAACATTGAATAGCCAAAGCAACCTTGAGAAAGAAGAATGGAACTGGAGAAATCAACCTGCCTGACTTCAGGCTACACTACAAAGCCAGTCATAAAGACAGTATGGTACTGGCACAAAGACAGAAACATAGATCAGTGTAACAAAATAGAAAGCCAAGAGATAAATCCATGCACCTCTGGACACCTTATCTTTGACAAAGGAGGCAAGAATAGGGGGAGGAGCCAAGATGGCGGAGGAATAGGACGGGGAGAACACTTTCTCCCCTACAAATTCATCGAAAGAACATTTGAACGCTGAGCAAATTTCACGAAACAACTTCTGATCGCTAGCAGAGGACATCAGGCGCCCAGAAAAGCAGCCCATTGTCGTCAAAGGGAGGTAGGAGAAAATATAAAAGATAAAAAGGGAGACAAAAGAGCTACGGACGGTGACCCGTCCCG